CCCTAAGTTACCTCCTCAGTCCTTTTTATTTTTTATTTTGATACAAAGTGTCCAGGCTATCCTTAAACTTGCCATCCTCCTGCCTTAGCCTTGTGGGTTGCTAGAATTAGAAGTGTGTATTACACTCCCAGGTTCTATTTTTTTTTTTCAGGGCTGGGGACTGAACCCATGCCGGCAGGCACTCTACCACTACCCCTCAGCCCTATATACTCTTGTGGCTACTCCTTTGTCAGTTAACATATATCACAAACATTTTCTCTCAGTCTGTGGCTTGTCCTACTTTCTTTATGTTAATACTTAAATAACAATTTTTTTTTTTTAGTTTAAGAGAGTCAAATTGATCAAAACTTGTTTTCATCTTGTGCTTTTTGCATCTAGTTTAAGAACTCTCACTATCTTGAGAACATGTTTTACTTTGCCTTTTAAACGTTTTACGATTCTGGGCGTAGCTGTAAATGAGGTGGGGTGTTCAGTTTCTCAAAAACAAGACCAAAACACCCAGTTTTTGTTTGTTTTGTAATTTTCTTTTGTGTTTTTCTGAGAGTTTGCATTGCCTTTCACTTTTTTTCTACTTAGAGAAGAAATTGGAATTTCATCTTGTCATTAAATTGTGAACATCATCTAAGTGCAGTACTCCTAGCTACACCTGTAACCCCAGCTGAGGGAGGCTGAAGCAGGAGAACCACAAGTTTGAGGACAGCTTCAGCAATTTGGATAGACCCTAGCAACTTAGAGAGACCCTGTCTCAAAATTTAAAAAGTAAAAAATAAAAAGAACTGGGGATGTATCTCAGTGGTAAAGCATCCCTGGGTTCAACCCCCAGTACCTAAATAAATTAAAATTTTAAAAAAGAGCTGTGGGTGTAGCTCAGTAGCAGAGCACCGATGTGTTACTCCATAATCACAGTAATGACCTTGTCTACAGCTTGAGAGTAATTTTGTTATTCTTCCTGAGGACACTGGTCTTTCTATTTTAATCTGGACAGGTGGCTACTAGGACTATTGCACAGAGGTCAAAGTAACACTCTTGGTTAATTCCCCCACTCTTGCTTTGCACATCTTTCTATTTCTTGTTTACTATTCTTTAACTTTGCTGGAATATACCCTTAGTTTCTTAAGGCACATAAACCAGGTGAAGTTGTGCATGCCTATACTTGGGAGGCCGAAGCGGGATTGTAGGTTCAAAGCCATCCTCAGCAATTTAGTGAAGCCCACGCAACTTAGTGAGACCCTGTATCTAAATAAGATATTTTTAAAAGGACTGGGGATGGGGCTCATTGGTTAAGCACCCCTGGGTTTAATTCCTGGTACCAAAAAAGAAGAAGAAGAAAGAAAGAAGGAAAGAAAGAAAGGGGACATAAAACACATTTTCTGAGTTCTGCAAATCTAAATGTCTTTCTTCTGACCTCTCAATTCATAATTTGACTGGGAATTTTAAATTCAAAATAATGTTTCCTAATGTGATGCACAATTGATTGTTACATAATCCTAAAATGATTGGTTTGTTCCACCTCTAATGGACCCTGCTACTCTGGGCAATGTACTGAAAAGGAAACATTGGTAAATATTTCATGACATTTTTAATACTTACTATTTTTATTTTAGATAAGTTCCTTGGTTGATGCAAAATCATAGCCACAGTATTAGGGGATTGGCATTAGAAAGACTCTAAATGCAGTCTTCAGGAGAGAACTCTAATAAACAATCTTGCTAATGTCCTTGAATTAAAAGGAAAATATTATATATTTTCTACAATGCTTTTTAATTTAAAATAAATTAGGCTTAAAAAAGTTTGCTCTCTGAATATTGAAGGTACTAGTGCATTGTCTACCATCCTCCTTCACTTGACTGCCAAACCGTGTTCTTTTATTTTTTGTGTTGGGTATCCAACCAGGGCTTCGGGCACACTAGACAAACACTCTACAACTGGGGGACATGCCCGGCCCAGGGAGTTTCTCTTTATTGTTTTCCTTTTTTTTCTTTTCTTTGGGAGGGCTCAACAGCATCATTTATTACCAGAGTGTGCCTTGGATACAGCACAATTATGGAAAAAGGTTGTTGGCGGTAATCACATGTTGTCACATGCCCCCAAATTCTACAGAATATGAAATACTGACAAGAAGTCTAGAACCACTGGGAAAATATCTGTAAATCTCACACGATCTTTTAATTTCAACTAACACCATGAAAAGTTTCAGTTTCAATGACTTACTAAATTCCTAAGTCATCTTTAAAGTATTGTTCTTTTTCTCCCTCCTAGGTCAAATAATAAAATGACTCTGAAAGTTAAGAGTAGAAAGCTAAGATGATTGCTACCGTTATTAATGTTAAAAATGACATTTGAACACTCCAACTAACCTAAACAGAGATTTTAGTATTCTATTGGTAATTTTCCAAAAAAAAAAAGCTTTTTAAATATGTCATTCATGCACCATTGAATTCATTTGATTTAAGTGTACAATTCAAGGTTTTCATAAACTTTGGGGGTTGTGCAACCATCATCACAGTCCAGCATTTCCATCGCCCCAGAGATCCCTCATGCTTGCTTGCCATCACTCCTCATTCTCACTGCCAGCCCCAGGCAATCCCTACTCACCTTTCTGAATCCATAAAGGCATGCCTTTCTGGATTTTTCATAGAAATGGGATCATGTAATATGTAGTTTTTGTGCGTGTCTGACTTGTTTGGCATTTAAAAATATTTTAAAACGGAAATATGACTGCATATCATAGAACTCACCATTTATTTTGTTTATTCTTAGTTATGAAATTTTACAAGGATGTGTGATATATGGCCCCACCCTCCTTCCTTCTCTTACACACTTGATCACTTTTGTGTCTCTTCAGTTCTGCATCATCTATGTTTTAAAGTTTATTTTTGAGATTTTTTTCTGCTACTTTTTCTGAAAATGCCCATTAATTAAATGGTTTAACCTTCTATATCTCTGCCTCCCTGCCCATCGTACTGGGAATTGAACCCAGGGCCACATCCCCAGTTCTTTTTTTAAAAAATTTATTTCTAGACAGGATCTCACTAAGTTCTCCAGATTGGCCTAGAAGGTAAGATCCTCCTACCTCAACCTCCCAAGTTGTTGGGATTACAGATGTGTGCTACTGTACCCAGCCCCTCCCTGTCTCTTATCTTTGCTCTCCCTTTCCACTAATGCCTCTAACATTAATTTCCACAACTTCATTTTCTAATTCATCTATGAAATTATATAACTCAGAAGTCATATTTTTAATTTCTAAGAGCTCTCTTGTTTTCTACCTTTTTTCATAGCATCCTATTTTGATTTTATGAATACAACATCTTCTTGCCACTCTTCTGAGTGTGCTAATTAGGAAAATTATTTATCTTCTGTTTCCTGCATTTTCTATTTCTTCTAGGGTCAGCTGTTTTATGCACAGGTGGGGGCAGGGGATGGAGGAGAGAATTGATGGAACTATCTTGTAGGTGGATTCTCAGTGAATCTCTGTGTGTCCAACCTCCCTTCTTATTTATTCACGAAGCTTTGAGAGGATTCCTTGTCCTTCATGGTGTCCCTGAGTTATGGCTTCCTTTTACAAAACATGGTATAAAGGGTAGGTTCTGGAAATAATACCTATGCTCAAATCTCATCTTGGATATTTATTAATTTTGGGGTGTTGGCCAAATTATGTGTTTTAAATATCAGTTTCTCCTGTGAAATAGGCATAAAATAAGATAGGAATAATAACTTCACTGAGATGTTCAGGCTAATCAGATATTACATAGCTATCATTTGGCTTGGAGACACATAATAAAATATTTAATAAGCATTTATTTATACAGCTGCACCGTCTTCTGAAATTTGTTGAAACCTCTCATTCTTACTAAATTCTCTTAGAGAACTCTATTTGTTTATTCCTTGTCTTGATTTTTAAATTTTAATTTAAACATTTCTGAAGGGAAATGATACAATTTCGCAGTATTGAATTGGAATCTCTCTTAAATTTTCACTTCACTTAAAAACTTTACCACATATATCCACAGTCTCCCTTCCCATTCCCACACAGGTCTTTGAATGGAATCTTTCTCCCGTAGTTAGCTTTACAGAACTTTCATGTTCTTTTCAAAAAAGCTTCATAAGGGAAGGCTGAGGCAGAAGGATGGCAAGTTCCAGGCCACCCTCTGCAACTTAGAGAGACCCTGAGTCAAAATAAAAAACAAGGCTGGGGTTGTGGCTCAGTGGTAGAGTGCTCGCCTAGCATGTATGAGGCACTGGGTTCGATCCTCAGCACCACATAAAAATAAATAAAATATAAAATAAGTAAAAATAGATAGGGATATGGCTCAGTGGTAGGACACCACTCTCTGGGTTCAATCTTCATTACCGCAAAAAAAAAGAAAGAACCTCATAGATATTTGGATCCAGTACTAGCTAGAACAACAGTTGCTAAGATCAACAAATTTGTTATGATTACTGTCAGACCCCTTTTAAATTTCCATCTTTTGTCTTATAGGACGTATGCAATTGGCCTATTTTTTTTATAGGTGGCGCTGTAGAGAAGAGCAGAGGCCAGCCTGCCCCGAAGGAGCAGGAGATTCTCCAGTAGGGGGCGTCACCCGCGGGGGAATAGTTCTTGGCGAGCCGTACGCAACGTCAAAGGCGGAGAGAACTTTCACCCCGCCCCTTCCATCTGGCGGCGCCCTGTGATTGGAAGGAAGAACTATCTCTTGGCCACGCCGTTAAGGAGGGGTGGGGGGAAGAGGGCCTCGACCGAAGGTGACGCTGAGTCGGCTGAGGTGCGGGGAGTTAGGCTGTGCAGCACTTCGGGCGCTCTCCCCTCATCTTTATGCGGTGTATGGCGGCGGGATGGAGCGCGAGGGGAGCGGCGGCAGCGGGGGCTCGGCCGGACTCCTGCAGCAGATCCTCAGCCTGAAGCTCGTGCCGCGGGTGGGCAACGGGACCCTGTGCCCCAACTCCACTTCTCTCTGCTCTTTCCCAGGTACGGCCCCGCCCCGCCCCGCGCCTGCGCACTGTGCGTCCGGCCGGTGGGCTGCGACTACTCTCCCAGAGCTGGGTTCAGGCTCCCGGATCCACGTCTCCGGCCACGTCCCCGCAGCTCCCCGGGGCCCCGCTACCCGGTGGCAGCGCGGTGGCCGAAGTTGGAGGGAGCGGCCGCAGGTGGACCCGGAGGCAGGAGGGGCCGGTCTTGGGTTTTGCAGTTTTGAACGCGCCTGCTTCAGAGTCGCGCCCGGCTCGTTGGCGGCGCGGAATGGCGCCTGGCCGCCTGTCGCGGGGACCCTGGCTGGATCGCGTCGGCCTGGCCGAGCAGCGGTCAGAACCCACCCCTCCTTTGTCTGTAGCCTGTAGCTCAGCCCCTCTGCTCCAGGAGCCCGGCTGCTGATCGCTGGCACCCGGTCCAGACCCACCCCTTTTCCAGCTGGTCTTCCTGGAGTCACTTTCTGAGACCTGTTGCCGGTTCTCCCACCACGCCTTGTGCGTCTTTGACCCAGAGTCTTTTTGACTCCTCTTACCCCCATCTGACCTTCTGCTCGGCCTGGTGGGGTTTTCCAAGTTGTAATACAAAATAGAATGGTCAGTGCTTAGAGATGAGGAATTACCTCCTTTAGGAAGATTAATAAAGACTTCGAGAGGCGGGCATAGTTACTTGTATTGGACCTTCAAAGGCCAGAAGACAGACGAGTGGCGATTGAAGGGGGAGTTGGGGCTTCTCTGGCGGTTGACTGACCCAGTAAACAAAGAACTGGGCCTGAGACAGTGCAGAGGGAAGGCGGACGGACTGCAGTCTTAAACAAGGCACCTGTGATTTGTCATCCACTGGGCAGCCACTGGCAGGCACCATTCAGTGGACACCTGGGACTTGCTGTGTATCACATGTCTAGCGCTGTTCTCTCACAGGTTGGTGAAGTAGCAGACAAGATGATGGTAATCTGTGTTGGGGGGTGAATGAAGATGGTTTGTAATCATGCCTAAAATGCGAATCTGGCAGCTCAAGTGGTTTCAAAAAGTATTAAGAGCACAGCTGACACCGGAAAAAAAAATACACAACATTCTGGAGACCCTGTCCAAAACCTGAAACATTTATGCACTACCATGACTAGGTTAGTCTGGTTTTCTTTCCTTATTCTTTCCCCTTCCCCCAACTTTACTTGGGAAATTTCAAACCTCCTGAAAAATTGAAAGAATAGTATAGCAGTTACTCATATGCTAGGATTCAGTGATACAGTCATGCACCATTTAACAACTGGGGCTTGTTAAGCAGTTCTTTTTTTTTAATATTTATTTTTTAGTTGTAGTTGGACACAATATCTTTATTTATTTTTATGTGGTGTTGGGGATCAAACCCAGGGCCTCCCCCATGCTAGGCAAGCGCTCTACTGCTGAGCCACAACCCCAGCCAAGCAGTTCTTTTTTAAAATTTAATTTTTTCCACATTTTTATTGGTGCATTATAGTTGTACATAATGGTGGGATTTGTTACATATTTGTACATGCACACAATATGACAATATAATTTGTCCATTCCCTAGTTTTTCTCTTTTCATTAAGCATTTTTGTTTTGTGAATATTAGTGTACTTCACAACTCTGAATGGTATAGTCTACTACATACTTAAGCTATGTTATAATTTTATGAGACCACCATCATATATTTGATCCATCACTAATTAAAACATGGGGGTGCATGACTTTTAGATTTTTTCTATAAATATATATGCATACTCATGTTTTAACTTCCTCCAGAGCCCTTTCAAAAGAAGTTGCAGAATTCATGGCACTTAATGTCTGATACATTAGAATGTAGCTGCTAACACAAGGGATTTTCTTTCATAGCTACAAAATTTATATCACTCCTAAGATATTTAACAGTGATCAAATAGGCCTTATTTAAATCTCCCCTCAATTGATCAAATGGTCCCCCCTTCTTTTTGGGTGGATCTGAACAAGGTTCACCCATTGCATTTAGACTGTCTTGAACAGTCTAAGCTAATTGTGTAGAATGTCTAATATTCTAGGTTTTTGATTTTTCTTTCTTTCTTTCTTTTTTTTTTTTTTTTGGTACTGGGGATTGAACTCAGGGGTACTCGACCACTAAGCCACATCCCCAGCCCTATTTTGTATTTTCTTTAGAGATAGGGTCTCACCGAATTGCTTAGCCCCTCAGTTTTGCTGAGTTAGGCTTTGAACTCATGATCCTCCTGCCTCAATTTACAGAGCTGCTGGGATTACAGCATGCACCACTGCGCCCAGCTCTTTGATTTTTCTTCATGAATTGATTAAACATTTTTTATCAGAATGTTCCAATAGATGTGATATTTTGCACTTGTTAGAGTATCATTTCAGGTGATAATGTAAGTGTGTACCTTTATTGATAATGATAACTTTGACCATTTGGTGAAGATGGTGTTTGTCAAATCGCTCCACCTAAGGATACCTTAATCCTTTCATAATTAAATGTCATATGTGGGTGATACTTTGGAATGTCCTATCTAGTCTGTCTGGCTTTTAGTTCCCTTTAAGAAAAGATTGAGTTAAGGGATCTGGGATGATAGTTACATCATAGTAAAGAATCTGTAGCAATGAAAATTGTTTTGCTCTCAGAAATGGTTCTGAAAATATTAAACTGCAACATGTTCTTGAGTTTACCATTGCTGCCATGGACATGTAACTTGAAGGAATTGATAACCAGGAGTCATTCTTACATTTGGCTGAGTACATGTATGAGGTGTAGCCCTTTGACTTCAAGTTAGGTGATCAGAATGTGGTGGTAAGCACATACCCTCCTGGCTGTGTCTCACCCTTAGCTGTTATGCTTGGTGTAATGGGTGCATGGAAAATAGCAGTCCCTAGTCCCTTATGTGTGTGTAAGGGGCTATGGACTGCTATTTTACATCAGGTGAGCAGGATGGCCTTGATAGTGACATTGGAGCAGAGATCTGAAGGAATCGAGGAAAACAGGAAAGTGTAGGCAAGAGGGCTCCAGATTTAGAGGCTCCTTTCAGCTGGCCCTGTGTTCCTTTTTCAGACCTTATGTTTCAGGTCAAACAAGTAGGTGAACTCAGTCAGTTTTTCTAAACCTGGGCTTCTGAGTAAACTAGGAGACATTCAGGGTCCCTGAGTGGAATATGGGGTAAGGAAGAAAGGAGGAGATGAGATCAGATCCTGGAAGGCAGTCTTGCAGTACTTGAGGAGGAAGGAGGGATGATCTGACTTGCTTTTTTTTTTTTTTTTTTTAATGTATTATCCAGTGGGTTTTAGTATATTTCAGAATTGTATGACTATCACCACAGTTTGAAAATATGTTCATCACCCCTACAAGAAACCTTGACTCCAATAACAATGACTGACTGGCTTTGTGTAGAGAAAAGATGGAAGGCCAGATCAGGGTCAAGAGACCCCTGGGGTGAGGAAGGCCAGTGGTAAGTGGGCAGGCTGGCAGCAGTGTCAGGAGAGAGGTGACAGACCTCAGTTGGTAGTGAGAGTCCCAAAGGCAAGTTGTTAGAGAGGAGGGAATGGAACAGGCATACTCCTTGTAGGTAGGTGGGATTTGTAAAGAGAGGGGTCTCCCAGGGCTGGGGTTGTGGCTCAGTGGTAGACCACTTGCCTGGCACATGTGAGGTACTGGGTATGCTCCTCAGCACCACATAAAAATAAATAAATAAAGGTATTGTGTCCATCTACAACTAAAAAATATTTTTGAAAAAGGAAGAAATATTAAAAAAAGAAAGAAGAGTTATATTAAAAAAAGAAAGAAGAGTCTCCCAGTGGACAGTGGAGAGGTGCAGGTTGCTGGGTGATGAGCCTCAAGGCAATCTGACTCCAGGAGTTGGGGGATCCGATAGGACTGTCATCCCCAGGACTGTTGTGGTGTGCTTAGAACTCTGACTTTAAGCCGGGTGTGGTGGCGTAGGTCTATAATCTTTATTTGGTACTGAGTATTAAACCCAGGGACACTATACCACTGAGCTATCCCTAGTCCTTTTTATTTTATTTTCTAATTTTTTTGGTAACAGGGATTGATTGAACCCATGGGCACTTAACCATTGAGCCACATTCCCAGACCTTTTTTATTTTTTCTTTGCGACAGGGTCTTACTAAATTGTTTAGGTCCTCTCTAAGTTTCTGAAGCTGGCCTTGAACTTGGAATTCTCCTGTCTCTGCCTTCTGTGTTGAAAGGATTACAGTGTGCCACCACACCTGGCAGGTTTGGCTCTCTTGCACTCTCTCCATGTCTTTTCCCCTCATTTTGACACTTCTGCAGTGTTACATGCATGGATGCGCTCACCAAGTGTAGCTCCTCCCCCCCCCCCCTCTCCCCCCCCCCCCTCCTCCTCCTCTCTCCTCCTCCTCCACCTCCTTCCTCCTCCCTCCCCCTCTCTTTTTTGTACTAGGGATGGAACCCAGCGGTATTGTACCACTGAGCTATAGCCCCAGCCCTTTTTTACAATTTTAAGGCAGGGTCTAAGTTGCTGAGACTCGCCTCAAATTTGCCTTCCTGCTCTTCCCAGGTTGCTAGAATTAAAGGGGTGTGCCACCATGCTTGACTCTTAAGATGTAGCCTCCCAGTCTTAAACTTCTCAGCTTCCAGAACTGTGAGCCAAAACATTTCTGTTAGAGCAGCACAGAATAGACTAACATAGTTGCCAAGGTAAACAGAACTGAAGATAATGTGCTTGATTTGAAGCAGTGAACAAGGAAATACTGTAAGATATGTAGAAAAATATTTTTGACAGTCTATTGAGCCAGGGAGATAAAAGTGCTACATGGCAATCAATAAATAGCTATTAAATAGATGGAAAATTAAGGTGCAGTAGATTAAAGGGAAATCACTTAGGTTTTAAAAAAGCATTTTATAGATCCAGCTTTGCTTTTGCTGTTAAGAGTCCTGTAAAAATCCCATCCATCAGAAAAGTGCTTTTGTAAACTGTACTACTCATCTAATAAAACATTTTTTTTCTAGTTGAAGTGACTTAAGTGGTACTATATAAAATATGTAGGCACTGAAGTAGCCGGTGGATGTGGCTTAGGGCTGTAGGGGAGCAGTATGCTTCCCCCTTCTGAAACTTGGGGAAGCGCCGACCTGCTGTAAACTGTTCACAAATTGGCTATTAAGCTCTCAGAGGAGTTGAGGTGTGGGTCTGGTAGGTCTGCTTGGCAGGTGCCATGCTCCAGGGGAGGTGGGAATGGTGTTTTAGCTCCTGGTGGTGTTAACAAAACAAATACAATAAATTGCTTAAACAATAGACATTTCTTTTCTTTTTTTTTTTAAAGAGAGAGAGAATTTTAATATTTATTTTTTAGTTTTCGGTGGACACAACATCTTTATTTTTTTTATTTTATTTTTTTTTAATATTTATTTATTTGTTTTTCGGTGGACACAACATCTTTATTTGTATGTGGTGCTGAGGATCGAACCCAGGTTGCATGCATGCCAGGCGAGCACGCTACCGCTTGAGCCACATCTCCAGCCCCTGACATTTATTTTCTTAGTTCTGGAGGCTGGAAGTCTGAGATCATGATGCCACCATTGTCATGTTCTGGTGAGGACTGATTTCCTGCTTGCAGGTGGCTGCCTTGTTGCTGTATCTCCACATGGCAGGAGAGAGAGAGAGAGAGAGAGAGAGAGAGAGAGAGAGAGAGAGATGGGGGAGAGGGAGGGAGGGAGGGAGAGAAAGAGAGACTAGGATCATCTCTCTTCTTGGAGATTGGGATCTCTTCTTATAAGGCCACAATCCTATCAGATATGTATTTATTTAGTACTGGTGATTAAACTCTGGGACACAGAGCTACTATTTTTATTTCTATATAATATGTACTTAAAATTTTTAAGCTTGGGGTATGAGTATTTATAGTCCATATTGCATGATTTAAATGTGTTTTTAATAGAATTTGCAAATAACTAAAATAGGCCAGTTATTTATTTAAAAAAATTTTTTTGTAATTGTAGATGGACAGCATGCCTTTATTTGTTTATTTTTATGTGGTGCTGAGGATTGAACCCAGTGCCTCACACTTGCAAGGTAAGCCCTCTGCCACTGAGCTACAGCCCCAGCCCCAAGGCCAATTATTTTGAGAGGGTCACGCTAAGTTGTTGAGGCTGACCTCAAACTTAGAATCTTCCTGCTTCAGCCTCCCAAGTCACTGGGATTATAGGTGTGTGCCATTGGGCCACCCAGCAAGCTACTAGTTTTTAATCAGGACAATTTTGCCTCCTTGTAGACATTTGTCAATGTCTAAATATATTTTCAGTGTCACTTCTGTGGGGGGAGTGCTGCTTCTTGTCAGAGATGCTGTTCCATGTTCCTACAAAGCACAGCACAGCACCTCCCACCCCAACAAAGTTATCCAGTGGACATGGCAGTGGTACCTGGTGGAAAAACCCTGCTGGGTTAAGCTGAGCACTGATCTCTACCTTTGCCTGCTACTTCCCTGCCCCAGCCTAACGGTGAATATTGAGTTTTAGCTAATGTGCTACCTTCATTCTCTCTTTTGGATAGCTCATGAGGATAGCTAGTCTATTTTCTAAGGGACCTGATGTAGGGTTTTTTTTTTTTTTTGGTACTGTGGCTTGAACCCAGGAGTGCTTAACCACTGAGCCACATTCTCAGCTCTTTTTAAATATTTTATTTAGAGACAGGGTCTTGCTTAGTTATTTAGGGCCTCACTAAGTTGCTGAAGCTGGTTTTGAAATCATGATTCTCCTGCCTTAGCCTCCTGAGCCACTGGGATTACAGGCATGTACCACCATGACTAGTTGATACAGTTTTTTTTAAACGTGGTCGGTGATCAAATATTTTAATGTTGGCTTGGGGTGTAGCTCATAACTCAGTGGTAGAGTGTGTGCTTATCATGCTGGGTTCAATCCCCAGCACCAAAAAGGGGTGGGAGAGAGTGCTCATTTTCAGTCATCTTAAGAGTGGGTAGAGTCTCTTCTTAGGAACTAGCTCTTCTAACCTGCCTTATCTCTTACCTGCCATTTTCTTCAAGACAAACATTTTCTGGTGTTTATTTTACAGCTTAAAAAGCTTTGATATCCTGTAGGGTGCAGTGGTGCATGCCTGTAATCCCAGTGGCTTGGGAGACTGAGACAGGATGATTGTAAGTTTAAAGCCAGCCTCAGCAACTTAGTGAGACCTGTCACAGTACCAAAATAATAATAATAATAATAATAATAATAAAAAGGGCTGGGGATATGGCTCAGTGATTAAGCACTCTTGGGTTCAATCCCCGGTACAAAGAAAGAAAGAAAGAGCTTTGATATCCTAATAGCAGGTGATGGCTTGATATTTACTGCATTCTCTTTAAGAGACTGTTGCATGAATATACTGGAATAGCTTTTCCATTTTAGAAGACTAGATAATCAAAGACAGGAAAGGGCAACAGGCATCTGCTGCATGTTAGTCTATTCAGTTTGGTACTCAGTCTTGTGCTTCACATAGTTGGAAAATTATTTGGATTTTTTTTACAGATCTAGATGCTTATTGTTTCAGTTTGAGGCTGTAGGTAACTTATGGGGGTTGGTCAATATTTTCTGTAAAGAGCTAGAAAATAAATACTTTAGGCTTTGTAGGCCATGTGATCTCTGTTCCTGTGTCAGATATGTTAGTTTTTTTGTCACTATGACCAAAATATCTTACAACTTAAGAGGAGGAAAAGTTTATTTTGGCTAAGGGGTTCTAGAGGTTTAGTTTGTGGTTGGCTGAGTCCTTTGCTCTGGGACCAAGGTGAGGCAGAAGTACATCATGGCTGAAGGGCCTGTCAGAGAAACACTGCTCAGCTCAGGGCAGGTCAGGAAGGGAGAGCGGTCGCTGCAAGGAAGATAGACCCTTCCAGGTGCTCCCCAGTAACCCACCTCCTCCAGCCACACCCCACCTGGCTATGGTTAACACCCAGACAGACCATTCAAACTAGAATGGACTGATTCAGGTACAGTCCTCACAATCTTATCAGTCCACCTCTAAACATTCCTATGTTAACATTAACACTGGAGCTTTTTCGGGGAATCTCATATCCAAACCATAACATCAGCTTTGCCCTTGAAGCTGGAAACTGTCATAGACAATACTTAAGTGAACAGACGTAGGTTTAAAGAAGTTTTTATGTTTATAATCTTCTAGTGGATTCAGATAAGTCCTTAAGCACAAAAAACAGGTGGTGGCCTGGGAGTGGTCATTTGCTGAACCTGCTGAAACCATCAGTATTTGGACATAGGACTGATGAACCAACCTATAGTGCAGCTAAATGATTTTGAAAATGAAGTTAACTGGGAAGGTGAGTGATTTGCAGCTTGCCTTTCTCTTTTCTCGCAGAGATGTGGTATGGTGTGTTCCTGTGGGCATTGGTGTCCTCCCTCTTCTTTCATGTCCCCGCTGGATTACTGGCCCTCTTCACCCTCAGACATCACAAATATGGTAGGTTCATGTCTGTAAGCATCCTGTTGATGGGCATCGTGGGACCAATTACTGCTGGAATCTTGACAAGTATGTCAGACATTAAAATACCAGTCAAAAACGTTTAATGTGATAAGTCAGTTAATTTCAGGACTTGTTTTAGAAACATCTGAGTAGGATAAATAATAAAATGTGTTTTTTAATCTTAGGTCCTATTCCTTAATGTATTGTTTTTTCTTACTCCCAAACCCCCTTTGTTTGGCTAATCTTTGACTTCCTGAGAAGTACCTGATTTGTGTTCTGTTTATTTCCTTTCCCCCTGCCCCTTAGAACTTTCTCAAAAATAACTGGAGAAACATGGATGTTATTTTTAAAATAATTGTATTTTTAAACCTGCTTTTTGTTTTTGTTTTGCTCTTTGGCTTTTGGCTCATGTCATAGGACACAATTACAATGGTGAGAATAATAAGTTTAAATTATTTTTAAGCTCACAATAGCATATAAACATGTTTTATATAAAACGCAAACTATAAGGAAGCAAAATAAAAAATTATGATATATATTAATAATAACCACCACAGTTTGCATTTTTTTTCTTAGGTATACATGTAAACATAAATACATTCATAGAACACAGACACTTAATAGTCCCATAAATTTGTCACTTTAGTTTTTTCACTGTGAATTTAAGCCTTGAGCTTTAAGCAGAAATTTCCTTGGTCTCTTTGACTTAAGGGTTTTTGTTTTGTTTTTTGTTTTGAGACAGTGTGACCCAATTTCTGTTGATGGCATCACCTCCTGCAGTTGCAGAGACCTCTGCTCCAGTTTCTACACTTGATTACTGGCCCCAGGCACCAGCTTCAGTTTTCTCATCAGTAAAATAGGGATAATACTGCCAGGCATGGTGGTGCACACCTGTAATCCCAGCAACTGGTGAGGCTAAGGCAGGAGGATCACATGTTCAAAGCCAGCCTTGGCAACTTATTGAGACCCTGGCATGGTACCAAAAACAATAATAAAAATGGCTGGGATGTGGCTTAATTGTTAAGCACCTCTGGGTTTATTCCCTGGTACCAAATATATATATATATATCCGTTTTACAGCCTGGGTGATGACTGAACGAGATAGTGCACACAATGAAGCACCTAAACTGATGCCTACTCTTCAGTGATTATGTATAAATGCTGTGTTTATTTCTATCTTTAGGCATTAGGGTGGAGTTTATTCCCTCCCCATTTGCTGTTTTCTCTGGTGGGCTTTTTCCTTTCTGCCCTCCATCATCTAAATCCCACTTTAGGGCTGGGCATGGTGGCGCATGCCTGTAATCCCAGCAACTCAGGAAGCTGAGGTAGGGGAATCACGAGTTCAAAGGCAGCCTCAGAATTTAGCAAGACCCTATATCTAAATAAAAAATAAAAAAGAGTGGGAATGTGTGGCTCAGTGGTTCAATCCCTGGTTTAAAAAAATAAAAATAAATACATACCACTTTAGGACCCATTTCAAGTAGTTTAAGCTTACGTCACAAAGAGTCCCAGTGAGATGTGCTTTCAGACATTAGTGACAATGCCAGTGTATGTAGGCATTTTAGAGTGTCGAATGTTCAAGAAAACCAACTTTGGCTAATTACTCTTCTTTATTCTTGTTCATATATATGTGTGTGTGTGTATCTGGGTAGATACAGGTGGTTTTTTTGTTTTGTTTTTTCATTTTTTTTTTAAAGATAAAATTTACCCTTTTAGCCATTTCAAAGTGCAGCTCAGTGGTTTTAGGACATTTACAAAGTCCTACAGATGTCCCTTTGATCTAATTTCAGGATATTTTCATCACCCCCAAAGAAAGCCAGTTCTTTTTTTTTTTTTTAAATAGTTTCCCCCCTTTTTTTTTTATTGGTTGTTCACAACATTACAAAGCTCTTGACATATCATATTTCATACATTATGAACTCCCAATTTTACCCCAAATGCAGATTGCAGAATCACGTCGGTTGTTTTTTGTTTTGTGTTCTCAATTTCTAGGCAGTTACAGTGACTAGCATAGGAAAGTTAATAGCATGAGGCTAAAACAGAACCCTTAAGTATCTCTGTTTTTATGTACCCTTTGAATTAAGAACTTGTGGCTTAGACTAAGTCCTCCTTTCTTCCTTTACCATCCCATTACTCTCTCCTCTTCCCCTTCTTGAAGGGAACCCTGAATATAACAAGGTAGAGCAGGCATGTCCTGTGGCCTGAACATTTCTTACTTAGTCTCACTTAGAAGATTATCATTTATTTCGTACCTCTTCAATGCTGGGCATGGGGCTAATTGGCACAGGAATAAAGAGATGTTTTTGAGTTCACAGTCAAGGTCATGAAGGAATTGCTCTTTTTTTTTTTTTTTTTAAGAGAGAGTGAGAGGAGAGGAGAGAGAGAGAGAATTTCCAACATTTTTTATTTTTTAGTTCTCGGCGGACACAACATCTTTGTTGGTATGTGGTGCTGGGGATCAAACCCGGGCCGCACGCATGCCAGGTGAGCGCGCTACCGCTTGAGCCACATCCCCAGCCCAAGGAATTGCTCTTTGTGATCTTATTACTTCCAGATTATTCTACTCAGTAAATCTAGGAGACTCTGAGTTTTATGGAGTCTATATCTAAAATCACAGGTCAGTGATTTGCAAACCATATAAAGAATACTTAACTAGAATAATCTTGGGGGACTGAGGCAGAAGAATTGCAAGTTTGAGGCCAGCCTAGGCAACATAGAGAGACCTTGCCTTGAAATAAACAAACCACAACAAAACCTTAGGTGATCAGCAGAAAGAATAGGGGAAACAAGACATTTCTATAGTATTTAAATTTTAAAGTAAAAAAATCTGGAACATTCTACTTAGAGTAGAATTTTAAGTGTTAAGTTTCACAATTTTGTTGACCTCATTTTTTTTCTTCAATATACTTGAATTTTTGAACCAGGTGCAGCAATTGCTGGAGTTTACCGAGCAGCAGGGAAGGAGATGATACCATTTGAAGCCTTGACCTTGGGCACTGGACAGACATTCTGTGTGGTGGTGGTCTCCTTTTTACGGATTTTAGCTACTCTATAGCATACACCCTTATGCTGTGATGTCCAACCTAAGTTTTCTAGAATCCTCAGAGAATACATGATGGAGTGTAGTGTGTTTTATTTCTTCAAGTGGAAGCAACTTGGTTCAACAGGAATGTGAAGAACATATCAGATATTTCTTCAGTTTGAAGCTGTAGCCATTGAAGACCTTTTTGGACTCCTATCATTCTCAACCAAGACAAAACCAGTTTCTTGGCCTCTTTTTTGTAGATTAAGTTTTACACACATACCTTACCAGGCCAACTGTGCCTTTGGGTTGGCCTCCCTTACACTGGAATATCCCTTACTATATTTGGTGAGAAAATCCATATTTCATGAATGTTGCATATTTCAGAGAAACTGGGCAATATTGGTGTATTTAACATGAGCAGAATAAGCTGCATTAAAAACTTAGTTGATCTAATCTTGATTAATATTTGGGAAACTCTTCTTTCACTGTATCTTCATGACAGTAAAGCCAACTAGGTTTTGGTTGAGTATAGCTTTGAGAGCAAATTTGGTGAAATGTAACAGGAAATAAGTTGAAGTATAACTCAAGTAGTGACTTTGGTTCCACCGTTAAAAGTAGATAACTGATGAGAATGTGATGTTTTATGTATAACTATCTTGATCTCTGATTTTTTAATATTTTAAGAGATATGCGTTTGTTTTTTTTACAATTGATTAAAAGAAGCTAGCTAATTGACTTTTTCTTTTTTCTTTTTCTTTTTCTTTTTTTTTTTTTTTAAAGAGGGTTTGTTATGTTCTGGCCCCAAACTCCTGTGCTCAAGCGATCCTCCTTCCTGGGCCTCCTGAGAAACTGGGACTACAGTAATGCACCATTACACCTGGCTAGCACTTTAAAAAAAAAAAAAAGAAAGAAAGAAAGAAAGGATTTCTATACTTTTTCCTATTGCTTTTTGTTTTAAATTGTGGGTGGGCATAATACTTTTTATGCAGTGCTGAGGATGGAACACAGTGCCTCACGCATGCTAGGCAAGTGCTCTACCACTGAGCTACAACCCCAGCCCTCTTATTGCTTTTAATTTGGCTTATTTTATTTAGTTTAATTAGAAATCTACATACCCTCTGAAGCAGCTAAGTTGAAAATTTTAAGCAAGATTGTTTAGAATATTCTTTGGACACTGAGGCACAAATAAGATACTTAAAACATTCTGCTATAGATTTTCTTAGTGACTGGGGTGGATTAATCACTTGAGACAATTTTAGAAGTACAGCTGAAAATAGCATTGGTGGTTATTGGTTCCTTAGTCTTGATGTGTTTACCTGGTGGTGGCTCTTCAGCCACTTGTGCAGTATTTTTGAGTGTCTACTCCCATTAAGTGCCTGAAGTTTTATTTTCAGATCTATCCCCATTCTGCCTTTTACACTTCTATTCAAGAAAATTATACCCTTAAAGAGAATTAAAAATCAAGTTTTTTAAACTCAATTTTAGCTATTTTAATTTTTATCCTACTGCTTTTCTTTTTTATTAAAAGGCCTGAAAACTTTGACCTTAAAAAGGAAAAACACTACAAAAATTAAGTAATTTGATCCTTACCACCTAAACTGTTTGTGTAGAATACAATCAATGTTGTTACCTGTTTTCAAAATAACTTCTGATAGTTAACCCTGACTTTCTTTACTTCCACATTTTTCTTGGTGCATTATAGTTGTACATAATATTGGGATTTGTTGTTACATATTCCTATGTGTGCACACAATATAACAATATAATTTGGCTAGTATCACTGCCCCCTCTACCTCTCCTTAATTCTGACATTTTTAAAGGAGAACTTTCATTATGAGATTAAGGCTGACAACCCACGAGGTCATATGCACATGAATCTATTCTATTTAAAACAAAATGCACTCTGGCTTCTGATTAGAAGAAGCTAGGAGGACATTTGCCGGTGGAATTCATAGAGAAAAATTATAAAGGAATTACAAAATTCACTGGACATTTTCTTTTAACAAATTAGACTGCTTGTTAAAACTAATTGAATGCAGCTAAATTTCCTTTCAAAATCCCCAACAAGAAACTCAAATCTAAGCTGGGCATGGTGGTGTACTCCTGTAATCCCAGTGACTCAGGAGGCTAAGGCAAGAGGATCACAAGTCTGGGTCCTGTCCAGAGAACTTAATGAGACCCCGTCTCAAATAAGTGAAAAGGCTGGGGTGGTAGCTCAGTGGTAGAGCACTCTTGGGTTCAGTCCTCAGTACTACAAAAAAATAAGCTCAAATCTTTCTTCCAACAAATATTTAAAGATTACAGTTTTCAGCTGAAAAAACTGTGATTTTAGAAAATATCCCTCAGTTTAAAAAATATGGGTATTATATCCCTTCTTTTGGGAAATGGTTTTAGAACATCTCTATTGAAAAAATGCTTTTTTCTTGCCTAAAACATTCTTTTGGCTATGTCACAAACATGTGGGCCAGTAGTTGGATCCTTCCCCCTGAAATCTAATTTTTCAACGTATTGATCCATGATTAAAATGTTAGTTTCCTTTTTTCCTTTTTTAGAGCCAAGACAAAAATTTAGGCATTTTGAAATTTAGGCATCTGTTTCTTATTTGATTATCTATTCTTTAAAAACTTCAAATATAAGTTGTATCTTTAAATTGCTAAATGTTTCCTCCACCCCAGTATGTGAAGCATTTTCCTGTGAATAAATGTATAGATCGTGCTGTGTAGCTTGAAATGTTTTCAGGGAAAAACTATTTGAATGCTAAACAAAGAATGTATTCCACTTTGGTTTTCTCTTTTCCTTCCTTTTTCTTTCTCTTTTCCTTGTCTCAAATACAGATTTATTTACAGGTGGTTGCTCAGATGGAAGAATATTGGCATTTATGTTGAACATTTTACCTTATATAGTTTTTTGAGAACTTTTGCCAACAACTGACTTTCTTAGAAATAGATGTAACCACCATTCCCCTAGCTGTGCTTCCACTGTCCCCACCAACGGTTTTTTAATGTGGGGAGGTAGCCCCCAGCCATTAAAGCTGATTTCCTGATTCTTTAATAGGATTTTGGGGGAAAGGCATTTTGTGAACTTAAGTTCATAAACAAAAGCTTAATGAATATTATGAGAAAGATTTTTCTCTGTGCTATTAGCTTTTTTTTTTTTTTGCAGCAGGATACTAATTTTTATGAAACGTTTAAACTAGTGAGAAACAGTTCATGCAAATAATGAACTTTAAATCCTTCCTTATGTCTTTTTAAGTTTTTACATGGTATGTTGTCTTTTGATTCCAATGTCCTTTCTGACTGCTCTGGTTTGTATAAAGTTCTTACTACACTGCAGCACACGCCTCCTGTCCCTGAGGAACCATTTCCTGGAATGTGAAGCCTTGGTGCCATCAGTGATCAACACGCAGAAAGTTTTTGTGAACTTGCATTTCTTTTTGTGCATTCTATAAGGCTGGTTGTGACCAAATCAGCATAACATTTTGTATTAGGTTATTTCACTAACTGCGACAGTCAAAAGGATCAAATCTTTGTACAATAGAAAATTATTTAAATTTTATTTTTCTACTGACATTTCTAATTCAAGTGTAAACGTTTATCAATAAAGAATTACTTTAAATCCTGTGAGTTGGAACTGCATTTCTTATTTAGTGGCTAATGAGTTTAATCTTTTGTAATAAAATTGTGTGACTTTAGTTTTTGGTATTTTTAGTAACAATATTTAACATATATGTTGAACTTTATTTTATGTTCAACTTTTTACTAATTTATAGGAAAATTCTTGTTCAAAGATGTGATTACATTGTATTTACACATGCCTTTGATACATTAATTCCATATTGTGAGCCATGTATCACCACCAATATTTGTGTGATTCTGTGCTGAGATGGATGAATATTGATGTAATGTGTGAAAAGCTAATAATTTCAATACTAAATCTACCTGAAGAAAAACTCCAAATTAGGCTAATTTAATGACCTTGGTGACATAATAAATCAGATTTCTGTTCTGCCATTTTCAGCAAGTTGGATTATTCCAATTTGGGTAGTTTACCTCATGGTCATAAAATGACTGCTACAGTTGCTGACATTGTAGATGTACATTGTCTGGCAGGGGACTGCCTATTCTAATTTTTTTTTTAATTTAGGTTTAACAGGCAATAGAGTACAAAAACCTTAAATGTGTAACCTGATAACTTTTTACATATATATACTTACGTGACTGCCACTCAGTTCAAGAAACAGGATGATTCTAGTAGCCAGCTAGAGTGCAGAGCAAAGGATATGCACATAGTTCCACCGGAAGCCCCTGAGATTATGGGTATTCAGGACTCAGCAGGGGAGGAATTTTCAGTTTCCAAAAAGAACTACAATGAGAAACCAGGGCATTGGTAGGTGCCTGTAATCCCAGTGATCCGGGCAACTGAAAAAGGGGTTTTGAGTAACATATTAGTGAGATCCAAGCCAAAAACAAAACTCAGTTGTCACTGCATACCCTGCAGTCAAAAACACAAGGTGTTGGCAAGGGTGTGGGGAAATTGGGATCTCATGAATATCAAGTGGTGCCACTGTTTTGAAAAACAATTTGGCAATTCCTCAAAAGGTAAAGCTTCATGACTGAACACTTCTAGGTGAGCTTTGAAAATGTCAGGTTCTAAGAGCCAGGTGTAGTGGCGCCTGCCTATAATCCCAGCAGGTCGGGAGGCTGAGGCAGGAGGATTGCAGGTTCAATGCCAGCCTCAGCAATTTAGCGAGGCTGTAAGCAACCTGCTGAGAGACCCTATCTCAAAATTTAAAAAAAAAATAAAAAAGGGCTAGGGATGTGGCTCAAAATAAAAGAAGCCAGTCACACATTATATGAGTCCGTTTACATGGAATGTTCAGATGTGGTGATCAGGTAAAACAGGAATGATTAATGAGTGCAGGGTTTCTTTTTGGGGTGATAAAAATATTCTAAAATTGATTTGATACATGGATTGGGCTGTTTTTTTTTTTAAGTTTGCTAGTTATAGAGCCTTCTGTAATGTCTCTACTCACATGCCTAATCTATTCCCTGATTTAGATAACTCAAGGATTGGATGACATAGATCCAGTCCAGTCCAGAGTATCAGTGAGAAGCAACTTTAAGTTGAGAAAAACCTCTCTCAATTTTTAGAAAGTATGGAACAAATAGCATGGCAGTCATCAATGTCTCACCTGCATTTGCTTCTGATTACTGTATCCCAAAATTGGAGTATAATTAAAATGTTTCATCTGAAAAAAGAATAAAGATTATATGTTTGTATTATAATATGGGTCAACTTGAAAGAAAGATCCATGTGGATGTCTGCATCATAGAATATAGCGGATTCTAGTTATTGACAGTAGTTAACATTTATACTGTTGTCTCCAGTAACTTCTCCTCCAGGGTTTTAGACTGCTATAAGCTGCTGGTCACAACACCTTTGTCAAATGACCAGCATGTAACCTTGTTTTATGTGTGTTTCTATCCAAAGACACCTTACTTAATACATATACTTTTGCCTGTAATTCTACACAGTATTTCTTTACAACATGACATCTCAATTACAGCATTTTGGTACAATGTACTTTTCTGTACTGAAATTGTACTACTTTTTCATAGTCATACACATACAGTACATATAGTACAGAAAACAGTCTGACACACTGTACAGTCCTCACAGTAAACCCAATACTGTGAACACATACTGTACACTACAGTAATATAATAACGTCCTGAAAAAATTAAAAGATTAAGCATTTAAAGTTTTAAAAAACATTAAAAGCTTACTGTTAATGGAGCTGCGGGATGTGGAAGGGCAGTGGATGGTGTGTAAAGCTCAACCTTGGCTTGCTCCATGAAAACCAAGGGAGAGTTGGGTGGAATTTATTCTGCAGAAGAGGAAGAGAGTGGCATTTTGACATCTGGCAGTTCTACCTTAGGAGTTGGGCTATCGCCACTTGTTGACAGGGTGGGCAGGTGTCCCTCCCATTGGCTTTGTCTGATTGGCTCTCTGCCTCATTTCTTTAAGTATCTCAGTGTATGGGGCAAATGCAGTGGAGGCAAGGCGCTTGAATATGAGGCTGCAATCAAGCATAGGGTCACACTCCTTCATGTCATTAAAAATTTTTTCCAAGGCAGAATTCCATTCCGCTATTTTGGCTGCTGTCAGAGGGAGAATTCTTGGAGTCTTGGGCTGACTACTGTTGCCATCCTCATCCCTACTGACTCTGGTGCCTTGTTTCGCCATCTCATCCAGGTCTTCATTGGTGGGTTCTACTGTTTTCTCTGCCAAAAGTTCCTCCACATCATCTTCCTTCATGTCCTCAAAGCCTTCTCCGCTTATTTGCTGTGCAATGTGCATTATGTTTCTGACACTGTTCTTTATATTTTCTGTAATACCTTCAAAGCCTTCCAAATTTTTCACACAGTCAGGCCAAACATTTTTCCAACAGTTATTGATAGAAGCTGGCTTGATGCTGTCCCAGGCTGTGCCAACATAATTAATAACGATGCATATAGTGACTGACTTCCAATAGTCCATCATGGTGGTTTCCTTATTGGCCTTGAGAGACTCCCAAGCCTTTGTGTAAAGCTCTTTAGTATAATGTGCTTTGAAAGCTTTTATTATACCCTGATTAAGGGATTGGATGAAAGATGTAGTGTTTGTAGGCATAAAAAGAACTTTTACATTGGGGTGTGCGTTTTCAACTTCTTCACGGCAGTGGACTGGAGCATTATCCAAAATTAATAAAACCTTGAAAGCAAGGTTTCTGCCCTGGAGATAGTGTTCAACTTCTGGAATGAAGCAATTGTGGAACCAATCAGACATCATCCATGCTTTTTTAGTTCCACCTCCAATGGACTGGCATAGGGTTCACGTTTTCCCCTTTAAGTACTCGTGGATTTTGGGCTCTGTACACCATTAAGGGTTTGCACTTAAAGTCACCCTTGGCATTGGTGCACAATAGCAAGGTTGCATGGTCTTGGAATGACTTAAAGCCAGAGGCTCTAGAGGCCATTTGCGTTACATAGGTTCGTTTGCCAACATCCTTGTAAAACAAGTCGGTCTCATCGACATTGAAAACCTGCTCTTCCACATAACCTTTCTCCTGTATAACACTTAGCCAGTATTTCTTAAATTCTTCCGCAGCTTCCAGGTCTGCAGAACTCGCCTCTCCTGCGAGGGTAACATTTTTCACCCCGTAGCGCCGCTTGACCCGGGCGAGCCAGCCGGCGCTGGCCGAGAAGGGCTTCACAGTTCTCTGACCCTGGGTAACGTGACAGTAGATTTCTTTGGCTTTCAGTCTCACAACAATGCTGTCCATTATGCTCTTTTTTTTTTTTTTTTTTTGGTCGGTCGTCATCTCATGAATCCACAAATTAAGCCGCTTTTGCATCTTTTCCATGGCTTAATCACGCACTAGAGAGGTCAATCTAGCGCTTTCTGGAGCGGCCTCACGTACAGACCGGCGAATTTCCTTCTCCTTTTTCTTGATACACCAGATGGTTGATTCATTAACCTTAAACTCACGGCCAACGGCACTGTAACTCACGCCTGAACCGAGCTGGTCTAACACCCGTATTTTCTCCGTAAGCACATCACAGCCTTCTTGCGCTTGGGAACACCCGACAGCACTTCGGCACTGTGCTTTGGGGCTATTTTAAACCGCAAAGACCAATAAAAAGCACAAAAATGCAGTTAAAAGTGGCAGTGGATAGATCTGCGAAAACGACTCTTGTTTACAGCAGGGAGAGTTGAACCAAGAAGTTGAAGCCTCTGCCTGGTTCAATCACAGCTGGAAACTTAAATCCCTGCAGACTCCAAATGTTCCCCCTGCGCATGCCCGGGAGTAACCCCAGAAAGCGCGCATTATTGATTTGGGGCTTACCAGAAAAAAACCTTAACGAGTAAGTGAATTTGAAAATACAAATCCCAGATAATGAGCGTCAACCGTACTTTTTGTAGATACGTAATTTTCTTTAAGCACATTTATTCCATCTAGGAGGGGAGGCAGCACCAAAGACTACAAGTTCCAGCATACACCACGTCCGGGCGGGCCCATAGCTCCGCAAAGTCCGGCGTGCCCGCCCAGAGGCATCAACCGGAAGTGTCGTTTTCGATCACGTGGCACTGCCTGCGCATGTGCAGACGCTGCTGGGGCCGCCCAAGGTGCTGCTGCCGCCGTCGCCTCCGTAGCAGTAGTAGCAGCAGCTCTATGATCACTCCCTAGAGCTTTTCCGGTGGAGGCTGCTGCTGCAGTCCTGTGGGTTGCCTGGCCCCAAGCGGCAGCGACATGGAGGAATTTGACTCCGAAGACTTCTCCACTTCGGAGGAGGACGAGGACTACGTGCCGTCGGGTGAGCGTTGCGACCTGAGACGAGAGACGGATTGCCCCGCCCCGCGCCTCACGTGAGGCACGCCTGGCCCCGCGGGCGTCGTGCGGTGCCCGCGGTGGCCCGGTGGCACGCGGTCTCGGGCATCCCGGTCCTCTTGACCCTTGTCCGCGGGCCAGGCTGGACCAAAGCGTGCGCGTGGGTGAGTTTGGTGCTGCCGCTCCGCATGGGCCGACTTCGGCTGCCGCCCCCTCTCGTAGCCAGCGCGGGAAACGGCACGTGAACACTGGCCCTGGCGCTGGGGACGCGGTCGGTGCCCCCAGAACGACGCGCGGCTTCCGAAGGCCTCTGGACCGAGCTTGTTTTCATCTTGAGGGATTTGCTAGCTCCCTCTTTGTCCATCTGTCCACCTTTACCTTCACAAGAGATGTAGTTAGAAAGTTAACTCGAGGATGCATTTTGCTACTTTGCAGGGCCTACTCGTTGCTGTCGTCGAAGAACTTTTTTTTTTTTTTTTTTTTGGATGAGCGTCTCATACTAAATGGGGTCAAGATAAAGCTAACCGTGCAAACTTACCCGCGCCCCATCCTGCACCTTCCCCAAGCTTATTCTTCTGGTTTCCATTTTAATTAAAAGTTATGCATGCACATACTTAAAACATAGACAAGCATTTTAACAGGCTTTTTTTTTTGAAAGCTAGCAGTTCCCATCATTCTCATCCCTGTTCAGTCCTAGTTGGGGGAAACTGCTTTGCACTTTTTCAATTTGGAATTTTCCATCTTTTCCATGGCTTCATCAAGCTCTATAGACGTCAGTCTAGCGCCTTGGTTGTCTTTTGACATAACTCACCCATGGTGGGTCTTTTTTTTTTTTTTAACACCGCCCCCCCAATCTTGTTCCACTGACCTTCAACCCCAACACACACACACCCTCTTCCACCTTTAGACCCTCCGCACCTCAGCTTGCCGGTGTTTCTATGTCAGGTTTTGATTAGACAAGTAATACTCATTGTTTACGTTTTTCCTATGACCAAGTGACATCTTATTCACAGCTACACCATTTGGTGTACTGTGATTGTTTTCCATGCACAACTCTTTTCTAGAGTTGGTAATTACCTTTTTTTGTTAGTTTTTTTTTTTGTTTTTTTGTTTTTTTTTTTGCTTAGGTGTCTTTGTGTTTTTTACCACTAATTTCACTCTGAACTTTCAGGATTGTCTAAATCATTTCCCAAAATATTAAAGATTCTTTAGGTTTTCACTTTTCCTTTTTAAGTCCATATTTGTGGGGACAAGTGCATGAAGTGCTGCATATACATGGCATAAGTTAAGGCTTCTGAGTGGCAGGCCACTTAACCTATAGACACAGCCCTGGGCATGAGGCTGGGTTTTGCTGTCCCTGTGCTTGCTCCATAGCCCACTCCTTGATTGGTTGCTGCAAGGACAGTTAGTAGACATTGCATTGGTGGCTGCCTGTACTCTGCTTAGCTACTGCATGAGTATGTGCGTGTATATATATGTATATATTTATAGTAGCTGCCCAATAAAATCAGACCAGCTTCTACTGCGTGTGTGTGTGTATAGTAGCTGCCCAATAAAATCAGACCAGCTTTCTGCTTGGTCTCCAGAAGTCTTGATTAGCGACTACACAGCCACACTCTCATCTACCCTGTTCCATGGACCTCCTCGCTGGACGAGAGGGAGCCCACGCACATATTTGCCCCTGACTCTGGTTTGATTGCTCTCTTTGACTATGAAACCTAGAATGTCCATCATCACCACTCTGGATATTCTCTTTTATCTCTTTTCTGTATTCTCTAGTCTGTATAGTGTTGTCTATTTTTTTGTTTTTTGTTTGTTTGTTTTTTATCTTATCTTTTTTAATGTCCCACCAAAGTGAGACTAAATTCTCTAATAACTTCATGAGGAAGGATGCATGGCAGAAACATTTTTTTAAGATCTCAAATGTCTAAAAGTAACTATACTACTTGCTACTGTCAGGCTTGATTGATTCAAGGTTAGAAATAATTTTCCATCAGAATTTTAAAGGTGTTCCTTCATCTTCTAGATTCCAGTGTTGCTTTTAAAAAGTTTTTTTCTCTTTTCCCTTTTTAATTGGAGATCAAACCCATGGCCTTCAGCATATTATGCAAGCACTCTACCACTGAGTTACATCCAAAGTAGCTCCTTTTATTTCCTCTTTTGTGATGCTGGAGGGCAAGCCTGCTAGGCAGATATTCTACTGTTGAGCCACACTCAACAGTCTCCTAGCACCTTTTATTTTGAAACAGGGTCTTACTTTGTTGCCCAGGCCTGTCCCAAGCTTGTGATCATTCTGTGACAGCCTTTTAAGTAGTTGGGTTTACCTCACATGCCATTGTACTGGGCTTTTGTTCCCATTTTCTGATACATCATTATGATATAACCTTGGTATGAGTGTGTTTTCAGTCACTATACTGATCCTTTTAGGATCCCCTGGTGCTCCAGAAGATTTTTTGATGATTTCTGCTCTCCATTTTCTCTGTTTTATTTTTGTGGAATCCTCATTTTTTTATGTTAAGCCATAGACCTGAACTTCTCTAATTTTTATCCTCTTCTTTTTTCCTATCCCATTGACCTTTTTCTCACCTTCTCAGTGACCGGCTGCTTTGGGAGTTTTCCCTTCCCCTAAATTTTGTAGTAACCAGATTGCAATACATCAGTTATGGGAGCAGCTCTAGACTTGTTTTTGGCAGAATTTACTTGTATCTGCTCATTGACCAGTATATACAGTTTTAGTCAGGCAGAAGCTCTGGTTCTTCTTTAAGTGGTAATGTCTCATACCAACTTTGCCAAGGTAACCCGTGTAATATTTGTTGAGGTTAATCGTGTGATTATGCATATCACTAACATTACCCCGGCCTCCTGGGTGCTTCTGGTGCTTGCTTATCTGGCCATGGTCCTGGCTCACTTTGCCCTATAGGTTACAGGTTCCTCAATCTGGATGGCATGTCAGCTGCCAAGACAAAAAAGGTTCAATAACTTTCTCTTTGATTATTCTTTTTTAATAGCCTTATGTTCTTGTTTCATGAGTGTAGTATTTATCACTTAAAGGATATTAATAATACTGAAGTTATTTGTTTTAACTTATATACAGTAAAATTTACTCTTCAGGTCACTGTTCTGTGATTTTTGGCAAATGTGTAGAATTGTGTAATCGCTACCAAAATTCACAATTTTAGGTCTCTCAACCCCCCCTGAAAACTAAAAATCCCTGTGTTACTCTTAGGACAATACTCCTCAACCCTAGCCTCTGGCAACTAACTCCTGTCCTATTTTTAGTCTGTATAAGTGTGCCTTTTTCAGAAAGTAATATAAATGGAAGCATAACTGTTAATGGATGTGAGGTAAGCCCAAAGGCTCATGTGTGAGAGATGTAAGAAGGTTCAGAGGAGAAATGATTGGGTTATAGCCTTAACATAATCAGTAAATTGATCCCTGATGGGATTAACTGAATGGTGACTGGAAGCGGATGGGGTGTGGCTGGAGGAAGTGGTTCACTGGGGGCATGAATTGGCATATATGTTTGTATCTGGCAAGTGGACTTTTCCTCTGCTTTCTGATCACCATGTGAGCTGCTTCCCTCTGCCACACTCTTCCACAATGATGTTCTGCCTCACCTTGAGCCCCAAGTAATGGAGCTGGACTTCTGTGGACTAAGACCTCTGAAACCGTGAGCCCTCAAATAAACTTTTCCGACTTTAAAATTGTTCAGTCAGATGCTTTAGTCACAGCAGTGAAAAAGTTGACTAAAACAATAACAGGGTGTAGCTTTATGTGCATGACTTTTAGTTAGTGTGAAGTGTTTTTAGATTTACCAATGCTGTTGTGCATATCAGTGTTGTAGCCCATGTATGAATATGCCACGGTTATCCATTCCTCTGTTGAAGGACACCAGGTTTTTCCCAGTGTGGATGTTTAACAAAAAAGTTGTGTGTTTAATACACACACACACACACACACACACACACACACACACGGCCTTTCATTTCTCTTGGAGTAAATGCCTAGGAATTGGATTGCTGGGTTTTATGGTAGGTATATGTTTAAAAGAAAATGCTAAACTTTTCCATGTCATTCTTGCAGTATATGAGAGTTCCAATTATTCTTCATCCTCTACAATACTTGGATTGTAAAGTTGTTTTTGTTTTAATTTTAGCTAATTTTCTCATTTAATTTACATTTCCCTAATGATGACTTTGACTGTTTTTTTGCGGGGGTTGGGGGGGCTGGGGGGAAGGGGAGTACCGGGAATTGATTCCAGGGGTTCTTAACCACTGAGCCACATCCCAGCCCTATTTTGTATTTTGTTTAGAGATAGGGTCTCACTGAGTTGCCTAATGCCTCACTTTTGCTGAGGCTGGCTTTGAATTTGAAATCCTTCTGCCTCAGCTTCCTGAACTGCTGGGATTACAGGCATGCACCACTGCCCCAGGCTGTTGACTGTCTTTTGATGTGCCTGCTTGCTGTTCTTATCTCTTATTTGGTCATGTGCCTGTTCAAATCTTTTTTATTTTTATTTTATTTTTTTTTTAGATATCTTTATTTTTTTTAAGAGAGAGTGAGAGACAGAGAATTTTTTTAATATTTATTTTTTAGTTTTTGGCAGGCACAACATCTTTGTATGTGGTGCTGACGATCGAACCCGGGTTGCACGCATGCCAGGCGAGCGCGCTACCGCTTGAGCCACATCCCCAGCCCCTCAAATCTTTTTTTAAAATTGTGGGTTTTTTACTGTTCG